TTTGGCAACAGTGTACGCTGTTGACTCATACTTAGCTTGTCATCCATTATGACTTCCAAATCCTTTTCAACAGTACTCCTTTTGGAGCATTATTTCCCATATTTTATGTATGCAACTGATTGTTCCTTCTTAATTGGAGTACTTTGAATTTATCCATATTGAATTTCATTCTGTTTGCTTCAAATTTTTTTCCTAGTTTGTCCATATCTTTTTGAGTTTTAATGCTGTCGTCCAAAACACTTGCAACCCCTTCCTAGGTGGGTATTGTTTTCATACTTTATAAATGTGTACTCTGTGCCATTGTCTAAATAGTAGACCCAGAACTGACCTCTGCAGGACCCCAGCTGTTAGGTGTTTTGAGCTTGACTGTGAACCACTAGTAACTTACTCTCTCTGGGAACAATTTTTTCCAACTAGTTATGCATTCACTGTAAAGTAGCTCCATCTAAATTGTATTTCCCTAGTTGTTTTAGGAGTAGGTCACATAAGACATCAGATATGTCAATCTACTGCAGTGGTTCCCAACCTTTTCCAGATGGGCACCCATTTTGACAATTCAGGAAGACTTGGTGACCCAACGCAATTCAAAAATGGGGGGAGGAGGGAGGGCGGGCAGAGCAACCTGGGGAGACACTTGGTGACCCTTTTGAAATGTAATGGTGACCCATATTTGAGTCCTGATCCATAGGTTGGGAAACCCTGATTTACTGCTTCCTTCCACCCCCACACCCTCAAAGGTAGTTACCCTGTCAAAGAGATACTGGTTTTGATTGACATGACTTGTTGATAATTCCATGCTGTTGTTTATCACCTTATTATCTTAAAGGTATCTTCAGATGAATTGCCCTGTTACCTTTCTGGATACTGAAATTAAGCTAACTGGTCTGTAATTTCCTGGGGTGACTTTATTCCCCTTTTTGTACTTGGGCACTACATTTGCCCTTTTTCAGTCCCCTAAAATCTCCTTGGACTCTTTTGGAAAATAATCACTAGTAGCTTATCTCCCTTCAGTCAGCTCATTGAGTATTCTAGGATGTGTTTAATCAGGCACTGGCAATTTGAAAACTTCTATCTTGTCGAAGTAATTTTTAACTTGCCTATTTTGACATCTTGTCACTTTCACTGGCCTTTAATCTTAGGCCATATCTCCTTATGGAGGATTGATGCTCTGACAGTCAATCTTCTGGGGTTTGATTTAGCATGTCTGGTGTATGTCTGTCTATGTCTGTCGATGCTGGTACTCCTCACTGTCATAAGGAGTATAGGAAGTTTAGAAGAGCATTTCTATTCCTATTATCTCCCACTGTGGAGACAGTGCCAAGCACAGTTTTAAAATACATCCACTCCAACTACATTACTTATGTAGCTGACCTTCCAGGTGTAGTATAGACCTGACCTTAGACATCCAGTCTCTAGTAACCTCCTCCACCCTTCCCTTCCCCCAACAGGCTTTTACCCTGTCTTTGGTCTTGTTTCTAATGTATTTGTGCAATGTTTTCTTGTTGTGCTTTGTTTCTAGCTAATTTAATCTCATTTTGTGCCTTGCCCATTTTAATTTTGTCCCAGAACACTTGTGATAAGTGTGTGTGTGTTTATACATACACCTATATATTGTGATTTGACATTTTCTGCTTTTTTAGGATTCTTTTTGAGTTTCAAATCTTTTTTCCCCTACACACTTTGCTCTTGTGTCCTTAATATTTCTCTGAAAAAACACCGTCTCTCAAACTATTTTTTCCCATACGCTTGTTTCCCATGGAATCTTTCCTATTATGTCCCTGAGTTTACAGAAGTTTGTTGTCTTGAAGTTCTTTATCTTTATTGTACTGTTTTGCCTCTTACCCATCTATAGAATCATGTATTCTGAGTGAAAGTGATCTGATCCTATGACAAACTGCCTCTTTACTTTCAAATTCTCAATCAGTTCCTCAATCTAATTTAGAATGACTTCTCCCCTTATGGCTTTCTCCAATATACAGGCAGTCCCCGGGTTACGTACAAGATAGGGACTGTAGGTTTGTTCTTAAGTTGAATCTGTATGTAAGTCGGAACTGGCGTCCAGATTCAGACACTGCTGAAACTGACCGCCAGTTCTGACTTACATACAGAATCAACTTAAGAACCCCAGGCGTCCCCAAGTCAGCTGCTGCTGAAACTGATCAGCAGCTGATTCCAGGAAGCCCGGGGCAGAGCAACTCTGCTGGCACCGGAGCAGCGAGAAAGCCCCGTTCGTAAGTGCGGATCCGACGTAAGTCGGATCCGCGTAAGTCGGGGACTGCCTGTATATGCAATAACATGTCACTTACTTTTGAGATATTTTCTGCAATCTGGTAGCTAAATATTTATTTAGTTTTAATTTATTTATTCTTCTTTGAAAACCATGTTCTTTCGAAATCAGTTCACCTTATCGATAATTTTAAGTTCTGCTAGTGATTAAATTTGTATCTAGTTAAAGGGATGGGGACCTATGGCCCAGCATGCGGCATGTCTTGATCCGGCCCACGAGGCTTGGGCTCTCTCTTCCCACAACAGAGCAAGCCAGAGCTGGCTTGTCCTGCTATGGAGTCCGGAATCCCAAGCGTAACAGGCTGGATCAATGCAAGTTACAGGCTGCATCGGGCCCACGGGCTCTGCCTAGCAGGGGAGAGGAAGTGGTTCTTCATTCTGATGTCATCCCCTACTCCCTCTGGCTGGGGAAATGGCAGCTCAGAGAAGCTCTGGTCATGTGCTCACATGCGGTTCTACCACAGGGGAATGGTCAGAGGCCATCTGGGGGACCACCAGCCATGCAACTCCTCCCCCAACACAGGGAAGGGTCAGGACCATTCCTCTTCACCTCTGCTCTACTCTTCCCTCTCTTGCGCTGTCCTCTCCCTGCCTCTCCTCTTCCCCCCAACCAAAGCAGCGCCGTGGACCAGCAGGGCTGGTGTCAGCAGTAAAGGTCCAGCTAAGCCTCAGAAGCGCGGGAACCCGCCCGGTGCCCCTGGTCTGCTGGAGACGGTCTCCAGCAGACCAGGGGCACCGGAGCAGCTTACGAACGGGGCTTTCTCGCCCCGACTTCCGGGGCGCGAGAGCCCCGTTCGTAAGTGCGGATCGGACATAAGTCGGATCTGCGTAAGTCGGGGACTGCCTGTAGTCTGTATAGTCTTTGTTGTCTGGGTAACTGACATCCCCAGTCACCACCAAATTCTTTGCTTTCGATGGTTTTTTTAAGAGCTAATAAAACCAATCTCATCTACCTTCTCCTCCTGTTCGCTGGCCAGTAGTAGAACCTTAGCATGACATGGCCTTTGTTTTTTACCCCTTTTTATTCTTACAGAGTTGTTGGAATTCTGGTATCTTATTTATATTGGGGTTCTCAAACATCATTTGGATGACCCCTTCTGACACAAATTACTACCTGACCCCAAGAGGGATGATAAAGCCTGAGCTTGCTGGAGCCTGACTGTCCCAATTGGGGGTACCCAAACCCAAGCCTCACTGCCTCATGCGGGGAGGGCAAAGCCAAAGTTTAAAGGCCTGAACCTGAAGCAGAGAACCTATAACATGAGACTTGAAGCCCTGGGGCTTCAGCTTTGGCACCAGGAGATAGAGCCCAGACTTCAGCCTTGGACCCTAGCAAGTTGAAAACAGGGTCTCAATCAGTGTTAGCTGTAAGCTGAGAGCTTGGGCGGCCACTCAGAGATTCCGATGCCACCCAGCTGATCAATAGAGCACTTTCACCTGGTAGCATATGTGTTTACCGGCGGTGCATGTAACACAAATTATTCTTCCCATGGATGGAAAAAACCAGGAACACTGGGTACAACCCACTATAGGGTTCCCACACACAGTTTGAGACTCGCTGTTCTATACTAATACTCCAGTTGCTTGTTTTATCCCATCAAGTTTCTGTGAAGCCATCTATATAATAGATGAAAATTACCTATTTAAATATTTATCTTTAGAGGTTAAAAAAATTGTTTAATGAAAATTCGTAGCAGTTGGTGCACTGATAATAGACTAAAGTTTTACTAAACTGCAAAGGAGGCAGGGTGGCATTTGTATTTATTTTTGCTTCTATTTGTGTTGGGAATTTGTTAAAATCCTGTCTCCCTATTTTTACTTGAGTCCTCTATGGAAGATTAAAGTAGTGTGAGCTAAGTTCCCCTAAGCTAAGCAGCTTCCCGATTAAGACTCATGTGGGGCTGCAGCAGGGAGATAGCTCCAGGCCTTGGGGAGAAATCAGAGCCATTGGAAGGGAGCACCTCTATGCCATTCATAGCATGGAACTGCCTAGGTAAGACGAGGCTCCAACCCTTTGCCCTACATCTTGAGCTTCCCAGCAAAGAGCCAGTACACCAACCCCCAGCCCTGAGCCCTACTGTCCCTCCCCAAACTCCTCATCAGCAGTTCTACCTTGGAGCCTGCACCCCCAGCCAGAGACCTTGCACCCCAACCCTCTGCCACAGCCCTGAGCCCCCTCCTACACTCAGAACCCCCTTGGCTCTGCTCCTGCCACGTGAATTTTGCTGTGCATCAATGTGAAGGTGATGTCTCACATGACCTGTGCATTGGTGTGCCTAAGAAAATTCTGTCCAGGAGTGGAAAAATTAGAGGAAACACTGTGGGAGTTTTCATAGCTCTTAATTGAACAATTTGGGGTTAAAACTTTAATGTAGTCCCTTAACATCTAGTTCAGGCATTTTGTGATAAACCACTTTAAACACTTGAACTAAATAGTCTTCCTTCAGTGGCTTGCGTTTATTTTTGTGGTAGTTATAGCTCATCTACCTCTTCATTTTCCCACAGCTTCAGAAAAAAATTATAAGTGGAATGAGTTTCTAATAGTACGCAAGGAAACTTTTTGGACATTTTGTGTTGCATATTGCCTTTATATGTTTTGTTTGTCAAAAATCCCATTTTCCTCTGTATTAATAGGTAATTTTATTTTCATATTTGACAACAATGGGAAAACTAAGAAGGCAATTAACTGAGCTAATTCTTTTCTCTAATTACAGGAGTCAGAAATACCATCAGAATTGACTAATGAGGCATTCTGCGATTACAACAGTAGGCCAAATGAAAACTCTTACTGCTATCAGCTGCTGCAAGAACTAAATGAACAGAGGAAGAAAGGCATTCTGTGTGATGTCAATATTGTGGTGAGTGGGAGGGTCTTCCGAGCTCACAAGAACATTTTGGTTGCAGGCAGCCGTTTCTTTAAGACCCTGTACTGCTTTACAAACAAAGAAAGCCGTAACCAAACCACTGTTACTTATTTAGATGTTGTTGCTGTTCAAGGTTTTTCTGTCATATTGGACTTCTTATATTCTGGTAACCTTGTCCTTACAAGCCAAAATGCCATTGAAGTGATGTCAGTGGCCAGCTATCTTCAAATGACAGAGGTGGTCCAGTCCTGCCGCAATTTTATTAAAGATGCCTTAAATATAAGCATTAAATCAGAAGCTCCAGAGGCTGTAGTAGTGGATTATAACAGAAGATCTGTTAGTCGAGATGGCTTGCCTTCATCAAGGGATCAGAAGGTTGCTAGTTTCTGGGCAACACGGAATCTTACTAACTTGGCAAGTAGTATAAAAACTGAAAACGATGGCTACTGTATTGATGAGGGCCAAATTGAAAACTATCAAATGAATGACTGTAGTTGGGTTCAGGACAGTTCACCTGAAATGGCTGAAAATGAATCTCAAGGTGAAGGGAAAGTTTTTGTGTGGAATGACGTGGCCTCACAGGGACAATCCGTTCAAGAGCCAGGAAAAGCAAGAAGGAAAAACCAAACTACAAAGAGATTTATTTATAACATACCACCTAATAATGAAGAAAACTTAGAAGAATGCTCAATGATGCAGCCATCAGTCCCATATACAGAAGATTTGCAGTTTATTAAGGAAGAACCAGGTACATTTTTATTTCACTGATATTAAATTATCCAAGAGTTAAACCATTTTATCTATTATAGAATAACCTCACGTCTATAAAAATGCATTAGATAAGATCCTGCAGCAAATAGTAAATTAGACAAAGTCAGTATCTTACTATGTTGCAGGGAATCTTAATATAAATATGCTTACTCTGTTTAAGTGCTAAGTCAGTTTGGTGTGCAGATATATGCTGTCAAAATACTTGTAAGCGGAGTATTGAAGCTGCTCACATTGAGAATGTACTTCCTATAATCTTTAAGAGCCAGTAATAAAATAAAACAAACCATGTAACATCAGCTGGTGAAAACTCAGGGTTTTTTTGTAACATATATACAGTAGTCTCTTGGTTAGCTGACTTCAGCTATCTGAACCATGTGCAACTTGATCCATACAATATTTTAAAACCAGCAGTTGCCCTGTGGTGGGAAGGCTGATGTCTTCTAGTAATTTATCTTTTGAATAATCATCCCTTTATTTGATGTAAAAAGAAGTTGTATTTTGGTTTCACACCAGTGGTGTTCAACCTGTGGCTCATAAAGAGACTTTTCACTTTAGGAGTGTGTTCCTTGAACTTTACTTCCAGTGTGGTTTGTGTGGTGAGGGGTGCTTTTTATCTAATTTAATGGGCTAGTATTGGATGGAATCACCTCCAGCTGCACCCCATGTTTTCTCTGGAGTAACTGGAGAGAGGGGTGCTCTGAACAGCTGCTTAATAGCTCCCCAGCTGGTTGTCCAGTGTGTTACATGAGAGGGGAAAAACATGGCTGTGTCTGCTTCCTTTGTTGAGTTGCTGGTGTCTGGTGGTAAACAGGATAGGAATTGACTGACCCTGCTTCCTTATGCTCCCAGCTTGGGCAGCCTAAGAAAAGGGGGAGGGGAGCTGAGAATCTGTAAGTTATAAGTCTTTAATTGCCTGCCCAGACATGGCCGCTGAAGTTTTTCAGCTGGTAATGGTCCGTGAGCAACCATATATGCTAGCTGGGGTTGGTTAGAACACAGTACACACAAATTACTACTCTCCTTGCTCCAACCTGTCCTCTTTTTGAGATTGCATTGGGTGTGTGGTAACCAGCTATGCTGGGCCTGTGCTGTTAAGAGATTTTCCACATATTGGGATAGCCACAACAGGGCATTTGTGAGTAACTTCTCATCACACTGTATTGCCAGAATGAGGGAGAACAGCAACATTGCTTGATAAATATTAAGGAATTCAAGAAGTAAATTTTTTATTATTGATTCTCAGTCACTGTTTCTCCCTCCTTGTCCCCAACGTAATTGGATTTTGTATTCTTCCACAAATGTGAGGTAGTGTGCATTGGAAAAACCTTGTTTAATCTGCCAATATACTACTCTTTCATTCAGTCCTTCGGAGTCCTTCTAAAGCTGTCCCTAGTCTTAGTTGTACTAACCAAGAACCTTTTCATCTTTAATTTTTTTCTATCTCATTGTTCACCCCACCTTTACATAATCAGTAAATATTTTAAACAATCCCAATCTTAGGATGTTCCCAAGTTTGAATATTGCAATTAATCTCTTGCTATGTTGAAAACCAACTACAGTAAAACTCCATTGGTCCGACATCCAATGCTCCGGCACTCCTGATGGTCCAGCACCATCGGGAACCCGGAAGTGCTCCGGGCAGCCGGACAATTGGAGCTGCTCTGTGCCAAGCTTCCCGGATTCAGCTGCTGTGAAACTGACCAGCAGCTGAATCCGGGAAGCCGGGGGCAGAGGAGCTGGGGTGCTGCCGGGTTAGTCCGGTAGTGCTGCCCCTCGGCGCTGCGAGACCACCAGACCAACCCAGCAGCACCCCAGCTGCTCGGCCGCGGCGGCTGAATTGGGGATGCCTGGGGCAGAGCCGGACTATCGGAAGGGGGAACTATGAGGGGTCTGGGGTGGCATCCCCTCCACCCCACTGCAGACCCCTCATAGCCCCCCCTTCCGATAGTCCAGCATATCTGATAAACTGGCACCCCCTGGGTCCTAAAGGTTCATTTTAGCATGTTACCCCAATGAGTGCGTAACTTCTTGTAATAGTCTTGTGTGGGGAAAAAAAATTTAGATACTAGTATTTTGGGGCAGTCCACACCAACGTGAGCTGTTCTTTCTTTATCCACCATTTCGTTGACAAGCTCAAAGGAGTTTAAAATGTTGTGAGCTACACTACCACTCTCTTTAAAACAGAAGTCTTTTTTGGATTACCACCTTTGTGTAACCAGGGTAAGGAGTGCATCTTTCAGCAGCTACTGCATTATGAACCATCTTTCTGGACAGTTTCCCTGGTGGCCAGTGTCAGTCAGCCTTCCCCTATGCTTTATGAAAACTAGCTTCAGAATATGAATATGCGTATCTTGAAGATGCTTTGTACAAAAATGTAATACCAGTTTTAACATTAAATCCTTTCTCTTTGTATCTATCTTGTATGTGAAGTTAGAAATATGAAGTGTGGATCTGCTTATAGTTCTAAAATGTGCTAATGAGGCCCATTACTGATACACTGGAAACTTAATGACTCAGTACTCAAACCAGTGACCTGTGAATAGTCTTCTCTACCCTGTAAACCCAAACTGTAGTTGGTATTAGAAAGATTTGTGACCGTGCCACCTAGCACAGGGAATCTGTTGAACCTAGTATTTTTTTCATGGGGTTGGAAGGTGCTGAACAAAGGATTCCCGCCATCAGGGAAAGTCTATATAGTCATAGAACCATAGGATTGGAAGAGACCTCAGGAGGTCATTGAGTCCAGTCCCCTGCTAAAAGCATGTCTAAGTCCAACTAAATCATCCCAGCCGGAACTTTTTCAAGCTGAGACTTAAAAACCTCTAGGGATGGAGAGTCCACCACCTCCCTAAGTAACCCATTCCAGTGCTTCACCACCCTCCTAGTGAAATAGTATTTTCTAATAGCCAACCTAGACCAATCTCACTGCAACTTGAGACCATTGCTCCTCGTTCAGTCATCTGTCAACACTGAGAACGGCCTCTCTCCTCTTTGGAACCCCCCCCTTTGGTTAGTTAAAGGCTGTCAAATCCCCTCTCACTCTTGTTCTATAGAATAAATGAGCCCAAATCCCTCTGCCTCTTGGCGTAAGTCATGTGCTCCAGTCCCCAACTATTATTGCCCACTGCTAGATTTTCTACAGTGTGTCCACATCCTTCCTGTAATGGAGGGGGGGGGGGGGGGGTCTAGAATTGTATGCACTTGGTCCGTAACTCGGATCCCATTGAGTTACATGCAACTGTGCTGTTCGTAAGCGCAGGTCGTGTTCGTAACTCAGGGACCACCTTTATGACCGCTCCATGGGAGCTTTGGTCGTAAGTGCGAACGGTCGTATCTTGACCATTCGCAGGTCGGGGAGCAGCTGTATGCCATTTAGCCTTCTTGGCTACAAGGGCATGCTGTTGACTCATGTCCAGCTTTTCATCCACTGTAGCCCCCAGGTCCTTTTCTGCTGAATTGCTGTGTAGCCAGTCAGTCCTCAGCCTGTAACAGTGCTTGGGATTCCTCTGACCCAAGTGCAAGACTGCAATTCTCCTTGTTGAACCTAATCAGATTTCTTTTGGCCCAATCTTCCAATTTGTCTAAGTCACTCTGGACCCTATCCTTACCCTGCAGCACAGTGATTTTTTTTCAAACTTTTTTTTCATGACCTAGTTGAAGAAAATTGTTGATGCCCAGGACCCAACATAATTTGACTGAAGTGTGGTCTCCGGGGGGGAGGGGCTGAGGATGAGAGCTTCAGCTCTGGGGGTGGGTCAGGGCTGGGAAAGGAGGGACTCTATCTTGAGTGGCTCCTGGTCAGGGGTGCTAAGATAACATCCTTACTTCCTGATTGTCCTGGCACTGCAGACCATGTTGCACCCCAAAAGCAGCCAGCAGCAGGTTCTAGCCAATGAGAGTGCAGACCTAGTGCTCAGGGAAGGCGCAGTGAAAATAAGATGGGCCATATTGGGTCAGGCCAAAGGTACATATAGTCCAGTTCCTGTCTTCCGACAGTGGCCAATGCCAGATTTCCCCAGGGAATGAACACAACAGGTAATTACCACATGCCTCTCCTGTCATCCATTTCCAGACAGAGGCTAAGGACACCATTCCTGCCCATCCTGGTTAATAGCCATTGATAGACCTAACCTCCTAGAATTTATCTAGCTCTTTCTTAAAACCCTGTTAAAGTCCTAGTCTTCATAACATCCTCTGGCAAAGAATTCCACAGATTGACTGTGCTGATTTTTATAGACCTCTATCTTATTCTCCCTTAGTTTCCTCTTTTCTAAGATGAAAAATCCAGTCTTTTTAATGTCTCCATGTGGGACCTGTTCAAACCCTCTAATCATTTTTGTTGCCCTTTACTAATGGC